ATTTACTTGTAATTATTGTTATTTACCGTCTGTGCTTCATGTGAGCTGGAGGTTCATCTGTGTGGCGAATTGCCCACTGTCACTCACCATATTAGGAGAGACGAGATGGCGTAATACCTTGCCCCGAAGTATACGAACGCTGACCGTCCGTGCCGATTGCATTTGCACGAGCTCCGTCAGAAGCCGTCGACGGGGCTCCCGGAACCGGTGGCCCCCGTTCCACTCATGTCGCACACGCCAAGACGGGTTCAGTGACGCCCGGCGCGACTCGGGCCGTCACTCCGAGAAGAGGATCCGTCCGAAACTTCAGACAACTGTCGGCGGAACATGGCTAGCTAACGGAATCGAAGTTTATTTCTAAGAAGGAAATGCTGTGAAAACTTTCGAAAAACTTCAAAAGTTCTCTTTGTTTTACACTGAAAGGAGCTGTGCTTTGCTGTTCAGGGCAGAGCATAGCTGCTCAGGCTCTATTCTACAAGAGTCATTGTATGGTCTTCAGCGACTCAAGAAAAAGCCTTAGGTCGTCATTCATTGTTTTAAGCATGGATGCGATGCATGAATGTGGTTTTGTGGGCCTTTGTTTGAAGCATTCTAAGCATTCATCTCGTTTGAAGCATTCTAAGTAGGTATGCTGATTTTGCTAAGAAAAGACCAGTTTTGTTGGACATCGGTTCATAAGTGTGACATTTTTCCACCAATCAAAGCATGTATCAAAAGTCAGGACATTCTTTGATTACGATGATTAATACACGCACTAACTCAAACAATGGCTACGATAATTTTGATAAGGCAAGCTCAGCGCACAGGCGCGCTAACTTTTTGCTGCTGACACTTTCGCAGTCGGCACGCTTGGCAACGGTCCAAGCTCTAAAACCACCGTCGTCAGCGTGCATTGTGTTGGTACGCGCACTACGCTGACCCGCTCGGGACAGAGTATGACAGACGACCGTCTCACGTGAACAATGGGGGGGGGGGGGGCAGCTGGCGTGCAGTGTAGTGGCGGCCTGTGACGCGAGCCCACAACACCGGGTTCCGCTGGGTGCCGCCTCAGCGGCCGGGATACGGTTGCAAACTGCAGATTCAAGTGCGTCGTAAGCGGACCATCCGATCCGCCGGGCTGCCGGCCAAAGTGCACGCTGCTCGGTGCAGTATTTCGTCAGCTGCATGGTTTGGAGTTGGAGGGCTCATAGACAAACAGTGGCGATGAAATGCGGATCACGCATGCCAAGATTCAGTCATACGACACACATCGCTGGCCAAATAAAATTACGTTTTACCACATCCGTCTCTCCCCCCCCCCCCAAAAAAAATAGATTCGTGCGTCAGTCCTTTTACGACAGTAACACTCATGGAGCCAACAGGAAGGAAGGCTTAGTCGGTAGTCCTATTCAGCACATGTCGAGGTTTCAACTGAGTCACACATCAGCACCTGAACGGAGTACCGTCTAAAGAGCATTTGGGGACATGCTTAGTGGGCAGTGGGCATGTTCTTTTTAGTGTTGTAGAACCGTTGGGACCCGTGCCTCATTTGAATATCGGGATGGATATTGGATATAGGTTTAGTTGTAGGGATGTATTTGTGTTTACATAGGTGATAGGTCTCGAAAGAAACCTACCTATAACTATGCACAGATTTTCTATAAACAAACCGTCAAATGCCTGCACCTATCATTTTATTTCGTTCGGGAATGGCACAGTTGCCCCCTTATATGGACTGGAATGACGGTTTAGCCGAACATCGGCTACATACCACAGAACTGGACAGGACATGTGGTATTTTCCCATCTTCCAGCGCAAGTCAGCGAACTGTGTCATAAATATTTACACGTCTGCAACCCTCTGCTGGCCGGACCGAACTGATGAACAGAGCCGGGAGAGAGCCATCGATGTTCGACTACGCCCGTCGATGACCTGGTTTCGGCTGCGGCAGAGAGCGTGGGGGTCCATGCCCCTGCGGCGCGGCGATTATACGATGCTCCATAAGGATTCCTGCAGAATGGCCCTGAAGTGATCCTGTGATGACCCCATTGTGACCCCATGGTGACCCCATGGTGACCGTATAGTGACCCTGTGATGATCTGTGGTGACCCTCTGACAGTCGAACAGCCATTCTGTGAGCAGAAGACTATCCTTTTTATGCCCGAGACTTGTGACGACCCTGCGTGTGTCATCCCCGTGTTCCCCCTGTGGTGACACTGCTGTGATTGACTTTGTGTGTACTTGCAGCCTGCACGGTCCAGTTGGCTGTCCACCTATCACTGTGATGCGTATATGGCTGCGATTCCCCGATGGTCAGTCCAGGTTTATACAGCAGCGCTCGGCGGACTCACTCCTCTTGCACAATCCTATGATGGCCACGTCAGGACGCCTGGACACGACCGGCAAACATTCCTCGCCGCTGTTTGCTTTCAGCTCGACTGCTCGCTCCGTCGGACCGGCCTAGTAGGCACGCGGGATCTCTCCGGGCCTCTGAGAGCTCCGGTCCGTCCCGCGTCAATGTAGCTGTCTGTGACACTGCGAAGAAAGCTGGCCGGACACGTTTGCACGTCCTGCCGGACACGTATTCACGTCCTGCCGGTCCCTGCGGTGCCGCTGCGTCGTCATTCGTCGCCTGTTGGCGCTATCGGTCTCCATATATGACCGGACGCCGCCTGCTAGGAGCCTCCTTTCCGTGCCTGTCCCGGCGCAGTGGCGCTTCCCTGCATTATACATCAGCATGCAGCAGCTGCGGGACACTTTGCATGCAACCTGCCGGCCTCTTGGCCGATCACCTGGGCGCCGGCGGTGATCCCGCACCGGCCAGCAGCGGAGCCACATTCCTGCCCCGCGGCCCGTCTGCGGACCATGCGCCGCGGTCCGGTCCATGGTCTGGTCTGGTCTGGTCTGGTCCGGTCCGTCCATGGACCCGACCGGCAGCTCGTGGCGCAACCGGCCCATCGCGACTCGTCGCGGCGCGACCCGCCGCCCAATTATTCTGCAAACTGCACAAATTGAATAAATTGCGCATGAATGCGGTCGGCGCTGACCGGCGCGCCCGGCGCCGTTGGTAGTGGATGGCGGATGGGCGCTGTGGCCTTCACCTGGGCTTGTTACAGAGCGCGGCAGCGGCGAACTGACCTTCCTGGCCCTCGGCCGTACCGCCGCAGATTGGGGATAATGGCTACAATTGTTCGGCGGGTTCGCACTAGAGATGGCAAAATGTGGACCCGAGGACCCGGTCCAAAGAACCAGTCTGGACCCATATGGGTCCTGACTGGTTCCCGGAAATTTTCTGACGGGTCCAACCGGGTCCTACCATTAACTATACATCTTGCACACTACACATGATTGCAAAATATAAAGTGAATGGAAAGAAAACATTTCCTGATGTATATTTCTTACCACACTGTAGCTCATAAATATTCCCAGTGAGGAAAAGGCTGTTTTACATGATGCAACTAATGATACCTACAAATAGTTTGTATTAATTGACGTTTGGGGAACGGGTCCGACTGGTTCCGATTCCAACTAAGACCGGGTCTGACTGGTTCCATAAATGTCCAGCCGGGTCTGGTTCGAGTCTGGTTCCCAAAATTTTCATCTTTTGCCACCTCTAGTTCGCACGCACACGGCCGCCATTCAGAGCCGCTGCGTGAATGGGGCCGACCGTGCGTCGATGGTATCAGAGTACGCGCTCCCTTCCGAGCGAAATGGATTGCGATATCGTGTGGATACGAATGCATCGGGAAATCGGATGCAGATGGACTGGTATGATTTGATGGAGAGTTGCGTGACTATTGCAAATGCAGCGACTTTATGTTCGGTCCTATTACCATAACGATCGTTTCTTGACCCCTTTGTTTTGTTTTCTGCTTATAGAACGACTCACGATTTTCGATGCATTTTTATTAACACGCTTTGGATAATGATGCGTTTACATTTCTCAGCTGCAAAAGTTGATCGCTATAGAGCTATAAAGAATAGAGCAACAAGTACGCCTGTGTGATATCGGCCAATATCACAGATGGCTGGAGATATACGCTCTCTCCTCCCACGGGCTATTTCGACTGATGGGCGGATCACCGTCAACGTATAAACACACCGGCGGGCGTACCGCCCGCCGATCTGACCTCAGAATATCCAGCCGGCTTCTCTGTGCGGCGAGCCGGCTCCTTTGTGCGGCTGGTTGCTAATTTCCGCCCACAACTGACGGCAGAGAGCTGGTGGAAACGTAGCCAGAAATTCACCTGACGTCAGACTTATCGGTCGAAAAGATTATACTTTAAGGTAAAAAGGTGAATCAAGCGAACGCTGGAGATTGCTGGGGGAGGGGGGAGGTAAAAAATAGACACTGACATTTCAGTGGGCAAAAATGCTCACTCCAGCACTAAGACAGTCTTATCGCAACATGGAAGTCCTGAGAGTAGCTAACCTACATGTCCACTGTCCAGCATGACAGTCGATTCAGTGAGCCGTTGGAGCACGTCGCTTCAATGAGACGCTTGATTGAAGGTGTCAATTTAGCCCCCAGCGTCCTAAAGTGCTTCTGACTGGGAAGATGGGATAGATTGATTCCGTCTTTTGATAGCTGGATAATAGATATTGACATTCAGAATGTATCATGATGCACCACCTACTCCAATAACGGATCAGTAGATAGCACCGCGCTTTGCTCGGCATGATTTAAAAAGGGGTAAGTAATGACCTCTCTCTCCCATTCTAAGCAATTCTTCGTGTACAAATAGAATTACGTTTTCTACTCAGTCTTCCCACCGTATGCCTCCCGCCCACGCGGTCACCGATCATGCCACCTCCCTCCAGCTGCAGCCGTCCTGGGGACGGGGTCGGCGGCGGGGGCAGCCTCGCATGGCGGGGGCGGCGGGGGCGGCTGGAGGAGGGTGGCATCCGTCACCGGCCCAATACTGTGTGGGCGGCAGCGGACCACTGGCCGCCCTCCACTGCCCGCGCCCCGCGCGCTCCAGCAGCGGCCCGCTCGGCCGCCGGCTCGTTGCCTTCATTGCAGACGGGCCTGACCTTGGCTAGGCCAGCGGTGGCAGCGCGCACCAGCGACGCACCAATAGGCGGCGTCGCAGCGGCGCCGCGGCGCGCCGCGCCTCGCCGCAGTCGGAGCACAGTCGCCGTCACGGGAGGGTCAGTCGTGTTCCAGCGCCGGCGCCGCCCCGCCCCTGTGACTCATTGCCGGCGTGGTGCGCTGTTGGACGCTGTGGCACGCTGCAGGCCGATCAGTGACCGGTGACGGGCGGGCGCACTGCTGCCTAGGACCTGCCGCGGAGAGCTCCGGTGCTCGGACGTGCTCCAGTGAACTCAGGCGTGCTCCGACGTGTCTCAGCGTGCTCTTACGTCAACATCACCCCCGGGCGTGCTCTGTGAGCCGCGCGTCTCGTTCCGTGTGCCTTTCTGTACCGCCGTACCGCCTCAAACGACCCGAGCATGTCCGTGCCCGGATACCACATGGTGAGCGCCCTCCAGGCCAAAGACTCGCGCTGGCTCCAACTCGAGGTATGCCGCGAGTTTCAGCGCAACAAGTGCAGCCGCAGCGACGCCGAGTGCAAGTTCGCGCACCCCGTGCCGCACGTAGAGGTGCAGAACGGAAAGGTGACCGCCTGCTTCGACTCAATCAAGGTAGGTTTGTATCGCGCGCGCCCGGGCGGGTGGCGTCTCAGGCAGGGCGGCGGGCGGGGCGGCGGGCGTGGCGGGGCGGGGCGGGGTGCGGAACAGCGGGGATGGGGGAGGGGCGTGCGTGGAATGGGTGTCAGTTTCACAGGTGCGCGGACCTGACACCCCGCCGAGTGTATGCGACATGCGTGCTTTTGTCCTGACACATGCGTGGGCAGGCGTGTGATGGGTGAGGGCGGATTCAGAGAGAGCCGAAACAGAGAGAGAGAGAGGGAGAGAGAGAGAGAGAGAGAGAGAGAGAGAGTGAGAGAGAGAGAGAGAGAGAGAGAGAGAGAGAGAGAGAGAGAGAGAGAGAGAGAGAGAGAGAGAGAGAGAGAGAGAGAGAGAGATGATGGAACACGAGACAATATGCAGATTTCTTTGAGACACAATCTCACAAAACTTATGTTCCATGGCGCTGCAGGAAAAGCATGTATTCCGATTTGTTCTGGAATCATTTTGGCTGTGCTGTTCCATCTTCATTCTTGTCATTTTACATCATTCATTCAATGGCTGAACATCCCCGCACTCTTTCCTGTGCCTATCATTCGACATGCGGCCGTAAGTGTTGGCCAATGCGACGAAACTCTGCATACACATCAATATGTGAGCCTCAAGAGGCGCCTCATTCGCTGCCTTTCCAGGAACGAGGCCCATGTTGGGCGGCGGCAGTGCCGAGTTCCATGCGCATTGTCTATGAAAGTCACGCCTGTGAGCCATTACAATGCGGAATGAATAGTTCATGCTGTGCGATAGCAGACGGTTAGAAGGCTTTTGGTGAATGGCGATAACGAAGAGCCGCACAAAGCCTGTACTCAATCAAAGAATATGGGCAGTTCAATTCACTGGATTATTTTTACTGATTATCAATGTCGTTTTGTTAGGTAATCAGTGTCAAAGAAAACGTATGCATTTTTATAGACTGCACATGTCTTTCTGGTTGCTTTCTGTTCTATTTCAATGCTTACAGCTTACTGGAGCAGCATTAACCCGCGGCCTGGTGGGGGGGGCTATTTTTTGCCCCCCCTCCAGACTTTTCGATATATCTCCAGAACCGCTGCGCCGATCGTCACCAAACTTTCAGTACCCTCCCGGACATCAATTTTACACATTGTGACCAAAAATTTTTCCAAAGGCTATGATAGGTTGGCCGGAAATGACGTCAGAGTGACGTCATGTTCTGCCGTTTTCGACCCAAAAAAGGGTCTCACGGGAAGAGCTGTCAGGCCTATAGCTTTGCAAATACAGAAAAATGATAAAGACATAAAAGCTGTAGAATCAACAGGGCTACAAAACTGCTATCTCAGATTTTTGAAATTTTTGTATTTTGACCCTCAAAAATAAAAAAATAACTTTTTTGGATATAATAATCGAAAAATCCAAAAAGTTTTTTGACATTCGCAAAAACCGGAATATATGTGATAGTCCTTACCGCCTTCCATCCACATACCAAATTTGAGATTGATACCTCTTTTTTTGGCGAAGTTATAGCGAAAAAACTGTTCAAAATTGATGACGTCGAATTTTCAAACTCAATTTTTAGCAATTCTAGACCCCGTAGCGCAAAACAAAGACCACCATTAGACTCCCCGTGACGAGCTGCATCGAATCAATACCCATTTTATGCAAAACTATCAACTTTAAAATTTGACCTTTTTTGGCCTGACCTTGACCTGACCTTGACTTGAACTTTACTACCAGAAAGTGACCTAAGCCGTACCTGATGGTCTTATAACCAACACCATTGAGTTGGAAATGAAAAATTGGCCATAGAACACGCATCACACAACCATAGTAAAGTTGGACTCATGTGACCTGACCTGTGACCCTTGGTGACCTGACCTGTGACCTGACCTGGTATTGTCAGTGACCTCTAATAGCAACATATCTACTAGGCAACTGACGCCCTATCGCTGATTCTCGACAAAATGCGTTTTCCTCGGTGTTATAGCGCATTCCCTAGAAGACCCGTGAACGGTGAAACATTTCATCTTTGACCTGACCTGTGACGTCATCGGTGACCCCGATGTCAATGAAATTTGGTTTCCCTTGACAAATTTGACAGGCCTTTCGAACTCCGTTTGAATTTTGTGGATCCGTCCAGTAGTTTCGGAGATATGAAGGGGGGCAAAAAATAGCCCCCCCCCCCCACCAGGTCGCGTTATAAACAGACCCCACCAGGGCGCGGGTTAAGCCAATGCTTTTTTTGTATTTTGCCACCTTCAATTAGATAAGCAGAGATAAAGGTCCGTCTATACCTGCAAATCATTTTGATTTGCAACGGATACTATCGTTCGTCCGTTTCTTCATATAGTAGGTAATGTAAATCGTAAAAGATTAATGCTAAATGACGTTCCCAAATGGGCTGAAGACAATTTAAACTCACCGGCTCTGGCGTACCTAAATACATTCTTCCGTGTCTCCCGTCAAGACACTTGCTCAGCGCGTGTGTATTTTGAGCCGAGTACTCGTGAGTCTGAATAAAGAACGACTAATTTGCATTCATTCTCCTCCGTGGATTGGTCAATAGAGCGACACAGCTGACGGTCCCACTGGAATCGCCTGGCTGGGGCTGACTGGCGTGTCGTGGCCCAACTAAAAACAGCTGGAAGTCGCCGCTGGAGTGACGTCTGTCTGCCAAACAACACTTCTCCGGGCTGTCGGTGGCAGAGCCTCTCTGGGCGCGGGCGACTCGGTCTGACGGGGTCCTCACTCAGCCAGCGGGTCCTTCGGTCCCGCTCTCAGTGCCTGGATGAGGTGAAGCGCCGTTTTACAGCGGGGTCTGGCTGCGGTCTGTCGGACGCGGGACGATCCGGGCCGTCTGCAGGCAGACAATTTGGAAACGAGAGGTCATTTCATCCGCTGATCGCTGGATCGATAGTTGATGATTTGAATGTTTGGCATCCGGTTTTGCGTACCTAACTACTTCTGCTGTTTGGTATTTCACCAAATGTTGCACTTAGAAAAGAAATGCCTTCTTGCATATGTACCCTGAAAGCAGTGCATGCCGCCTGATGTGCTAGAACATCATACCTATAAGCTCTAGCTGTCCAGTGTCCAGTTTTGTGCTTTTTTACTGGTTTAGCGCATGGGCGAAGGTAAGGCTGGTTGAGTCAACTTATCAATATTTTAGTCACAGGAGGTACATTTCCGGTCGAGCCACTCCCTCAGAAGGTAGTTGTGCGAATTCGGACATGTTCTATTTAAGTCGCATTCATACTGCACATTGCTGTTTTGTTGTGTCCAGCATTGTTCTTATAAACAAGTTCAGAGATAACCGAAGGCTTCTGTTGGTGCAGCCGTGCGCCTCTGCCTTTTACACCTATTGGCTACTATTGTCCCACGCACTGTTACGTCACAGCCCGATCAACTCGTGCGCCAAATAAGGCACTGTTTTCCCTACGAGCAGCAGTTTTAGGGCGTTTCTCGATCTTCGATCGTTCTTGCGTTGGCGCTGAACGCGATCCCTTGTCTGACTTCCATGTAGACATCAGTCTTTGACGTTTTACGTGGGAGTCGCCCCATGTAGAGGCTACTTTGCACGCCCGCTGAGGAGGCTACACGACAGTGTGGGCGGCACCCCGCGAGGAGAGGAGCTGCCGATGTGTGCGGCCGCCCTCGCCGCGGCCGGACTAACGGCCTGTGGTTGCGTCTGTGAATGAGGCTGTGTGTCATGGCTGCTGCGGAAATACCAGGCACGTCTGGTCCAGTCTCCTGGGCCGGGCCTGGCTTACACAACATCTCCCCGGGTCAGCGTCGGGTCAGACGTTGCCGATCCCGGGTCAGCCCGTGCCGATCCCGGGGAGTCGATAAGGTGGCGTGGGGGAGTGCCGGGGCCGGGCAGATCCTGGTGGGTCAATAGTGACGAGCTGAGGGCGCGGTCTGTGTCCCATTAAAAATAATCAATATCGCCACGTTTCGCTATCCCGTTTGGACCACTTAATTGGCTATCCGATGAAGTTTTCGGCGCGTTCGAGTGAAACTAAGGATAGCACAAAATCGACACGCTGCTGGTCCCCCATTAGCCAGCTACTGCTCTAAATATGCTTTACCAGCCGTCGTCAGTACATAGACCTCTTCTCATTGCGCCCACTCAGCAGTAGCAACTATCGTGTGTGTCCCGGTGCCGTGGGGGCCCACAGGGGCTCGCGTTAGCCGCCAGTTAGTCGCCTGCAGGCCGATCTACGTCTCTGTGCGGGCAGTGTGGCGCGGAGCTGGTCCGTGCCTGCCACACTGTGGGGTTTCCTGTCGCCTCTCCGACAGGCGGCATCGACTGCCAGGCGCCAGACTTGTCTGCTGTGACAGCTGCAGACGGTCCCGGAATGCCGCCCTCTGTGAAATAAAGACGAGCCTTGTCGATCGGTCAACCGCCCCCCGTTGCTAGGGACAACAGTGTAACTCGGTGGTGTCTTACTTTATCTATTTTTAATTATCGTGACACTTCGGTCCGAGTGGTGGTGTGTCAACTTTGGCGACCACTTTCACATAAACGCAGTTTTTAATATCATAATATAGATCTGTCTTGTAACAATTCCGTTAGCTCATCAGTTCTGCATTATTTCGTATTGTAGGCACTTCGATCTCCATGGTGCAGGCTACAGATCGTGTGTTTGACTCGGTCCAAGCAAGCTTCAACCCGTCGATGTGCTGCGCTAACCCTCTTCGTCTGCCTGCCGTCTGTCTGGTCTGACTCCTTATTGCGAACACTCCCCGTAGTCGGCTAGCCTGGCCCCTGGGCGCGGCGTTCGCAGCCGTAGCATGGCTCATAACTCTCGACCGTTGCAGGAGTGTAAGAACATTAGTTGTCCGGGCGTCTGGGCTGGTTTTGGTGATCAACAAAACAGCTTACGCTGCTTGCATGTCAATGCAGCTGCTAATCGGACGGAAAATTCATGGATGATCATATGAGCGTCTTGACGATGCAAGCAGTTTTAAGCCAAACAGACTACACCTAGCGAGCAATGTGC